TCATCATCCCTGGGATTATTGCCCTGTGACCGCCATCGCAGCCACAACCACTGTCACTGCTTCCCTCACTCAGAGTATCCAGACTGCTCAGACTGTGAACAATGTGTCCATTGCCGTGGCAGAAGCCTTTGCCATCCAAAATGACTTAAATAAACTGTCCTGATCTGCTATTTTAGTCATTCAGCAAGAACTAGACCTCACCAGGAACAACTAGATATTCTGTTTATGTTTCAGAGGCTCACTTGTGACCCTGAGTTTCATAGCATTTGTGTCACCCAATATGTTGTGTCTGACAATGTAACCTTAGACTTCTCCAGTTTTTCTCTGCATATTAAGGGCACTTGGGATGCTAACTGTGTTATTACTATGCAAAACCTTACTAAGGCAATTGTCAAAATCAATGAGACGAAGGTGTCTATTTTGACAACCTCTTCTTTCTTCCAGGGACTGACTGAACATTGGGAAAACCTGATAGCCAGATTAACTAATCCTTATAATGCTATTACCCTGGCCCTACTGGTTATTATAATGATAATATTTTCTTGTGTTGAGAGATGTTTATGTAACCATGTAAAGGCCCCTGAATGAAAAACAGCAATGCTGGCAGAAGTCCTTGTGGCACAATCAGAGCGGGGAGATGTGGGGACAGGTGTGTGGAGTACTGCATATGTGGCATACATTAAGGGCACCTGAGTGGCAGACCACTCTCCTCGTGCTAGGTACATGAGTGGCAGACACTTACCTGTAGGCACGCGCTGGAGCTTGAGGTCCCAGCGCTTGCTCCACGGTCTGCTCCTCAATTGGTTGCTGCAAGGACAGTTGGCTAAAAATTGTGTTGGTGGCTGCCTGTAATCTGCCTAGCTGCTGCCTGAGTATATATATACATGGTAACTGCTCAATAAAATCAGATATGCTTCCAGCTTGGTCTCCGGAGGTCTTGAATAGTGACTCTGCAGCCACACTTTCCTCTACCCTGTTCTGTGCACCTCCTTGCTGGGCAGAGAGAGAGCCCACACAAGTGGCTGCTGGGGAGAGGGTGTTGGGAACTATGGTACATGCCCAGCTGGTGTTCCAAACTGGGAGGTGCCCCAACTAAAGATGGTGATGAAGATGGTCCAAGATCGAGGTGGCTGCTTTCATTGGTGGGTGTCGCATTGGGTGGGGGGAGCCAGACAATGGCATTGGCTATGTGTTCAGAGATGCAGCTCTGTGACGGGCAGTGTTGTGGCTGTCGGCTGTCTTCAGAGCCTGTGTGATGGCTCCAGGTGCAGGCCGGCTACTGTGCATAAGGGACTGTGGCAGTGGCTGCAGAGTCCCAAGATGGAGGTGAGTGAGGGAGCCCCATATTGGTAGATGGGGGGCTACATGGGAGTGGCAGTTGGAGTTCCTATGGGTGGTAGTGGCTAGGTGTCCTGCATGGGAGCAGCATCTGGGATTTCTGTGCAGGTGGGAGGCCAAGAGTCCTGCTCTGGTGCAGATGCCGGTGGTCCCTCTCGGGCACCTGGAAGTCTTGCATGGGTGAGTGTTTGGGACACCTCCTCTGACACTGAGGCCTGGAGCCCTGCACAGGCAAGGTGGTCATCTCTCTTTTTCTTTTTGTTAGTTTGGCTAAGAGTTTGCCAAGCTTTTTTTCCTCCCCAAGTACCAACTCTTTGTTTTTTTGATTCTTTGAATTGTTTTGTTATTCTGTAATTCATTGATTTCAGCTTTGAACATAATTATTTCCTTTCTTCTAATGATTTTGGAATTGGTTTGTTCTTACTTTTCAAGGGCTTGAGATACAATAGTAGGTTCTTTATTTGGGATATTTATTATTTTCTTATGCAGTCATTGGTAGGTATAATGCTTGCTCTTAAAACCACCATCATATTGTTCCAGATTTTCTGATGTTTTATCCATATTCACATTTGATTCTAAGATTTTATAAAAAATTTCTCCTTTAATTTCTTTTCTATCGCCCACTCATTATTCAAAAGTGAACACTGTTCAATGCCTATCTGTTTATATGGCTTCTGTAAGTATTTTTGGTGTTGATTTCTAATTTCATTCCATTATGTTTAGACAAGTTACAAGGAATTATATTGATATTTTATATTTGCTAGGAGTTGCTTTGTGATCTAAAATATGGTCAATTTTTGAGAACATTCCATGAGCATCTGATAAGAGAAATCAACTATGTTAGATGAAATAGTCTATAATATCTGTTTATCTATTTCATCTATAATATTTTCTGTGTGTGAAGATTCTCTACTGAGTTTACAATTGGACCTTTACTTAGATTTTGTAACACTGTGATCAAAATGTGCAACAAGAACAATTTAGATGAGGAAAAGTTTATTTGGGGCTCATGTTTTCAGAGGTCTCAGTTCATAGATAGCTGATTCTTGCTCTGGGTCCAAGAGGAAGCAGCTCATCATGGGAGAAGGGACCAGCAGAGGAACACCACACAGTTTGTGATGGGATCAGAAAGCAAAGAGAGGGAGATAAAGGGGTCTAGGAAGAACATCATTCTAGGCATGGCTCCATGACTCACTCCTGCAGCCACTCTACTATAGGTAGGYGGACTACCTATAGTTACCTATAGTTCCTACCTATAGTCACCACACAGTCCATTCAAAGTAGAATGGGCTGATCAGTCACAGATGTCATAATTTAATCATTTCACCTCTGAATATTCCTGTACTAACTGTAGTTTTGGGGGGACACCTCATACACAAATCAGAATAATGAACTATCAATTGATGTGTGAAGTGTGTTCAGTTAATTCAGTATTATTGTACTGGAGTCCATATATCTTTAATTCAGGTAATGTCTGTTATATGTAATTAGGTGAACCAACATTTGGGGCATAAAAATTTGCTAGCAATATATCTTATTATTGGATTATTCCCTTTACTAATATTAAGTGACCTTCTTTGTCTGTTCTAAGTTTTTCCTTGAAATATGCTTTTTATGAATATTCCTGATGGTTTTGGGCTTCAATTATATGGTATATAAATTTTAATCCTTTTATGTTCAATCTGTTGCTGTATTCACCAATAAGGGTGAGTGTCTTGTAAACAATGTATATTTAGATTGTGTTTTTTAATCCATTCTGCCAGCCTATGTCTTTTAATTTGACAGATGAGACCACTTAATTTGAATGTTATTACTGAGAGATGTTTATTAATTCCTGCTACTTTTATTATTTCTAATGAATAATTTGTCCTATTTATTATTTGCCTGTGATTCTTCAAATGAGATTTATCCATTTGTGAACTCATTTGTGAACCCATTTTGAGTTTTTCTACATGTAATATTTCTTTAAGTATTTTCTGTAGGGCCAGCTTAGAAGTCATGAATTCTTTTAGTTTCTGCTTATGTTAGAATGTTTTATTTCCTTTTTTTATTCTACAGGATAACTTTGTTGGATATAGTAATCTGGATTGACAGTTATTTTCTTTCAGGGTTTGAAACACATTATTAAAAGTCTTCCTGAATTTTAGCACTTCTGCTGAGAAATCAGAAGTAATTCTTATTGGCTCTCCTCTAATTGTGAACTGAATTTTTTTTCTTGAGGATTTTAAAATTCTATCCTTGCTGTGCACATTAGTCATTTCAATTATAATGTGTAGTGAAGGGGTTCTTTTTTGATCTTGTCTGTTTGGGGTTCTGAGTTCCTCCTATATTTGGATGTACATCTCATTCTCAAGATTTCAAAAATGTTCTGTCATTATTATCCTGAAGAGGACTTACAGCCATTAGCCTCCCTCTCACAATCTTCTTCAATTCCAACGATTCTTAAATTTTTTCTCTTAATGTTGGCCCAGAGTTCTTTTTACTCTGGTCATAGTTACTTATTTTCTTTTTTATAATGCTGTATGAATATTCTAGACCAACCACTTTGTCTTCTAGATCTGCCATTCTGTCATCAGTATGATCTACTCTATTAGACTTTTGAATAATCATTTTATTTGATTTATTGTGTCCTTCATTTCTAAGTTTCTGCTTGGTTATTTTTCAACATATCAATCTCCTTCAAATTTCTCATTCATAGCCTGTATTTACTTCTTTAATTCATTCAGTTATTTTTCTGTGTTCTCTTGAAATTCATTGATCATTTTTATAATCATGCTTATGAACTTTTCTGTTATTTTCTCCACTTCAATATCTTTGGAGACAGTTGCAGGTGAATTATGAACTTAGAAGCTGTTGCATTACCTTGTTTTTTCCTATTTCTTGTATTGATGTGTTGAGTTTTATGCATCTATTGGTATGAATTTCTTGTCAATTCTTATGTTTGGGACTTTGTAAGGCATAGTCTTCTCTTGCCAAAATGTCCTAGATTGTTATAGACTGAGACCTTTTAAAGGTGTGATATCTACAGACTTTGTGTTAATTCTCTGCTTTTGTTGCAGGAGTAGATGTTCATTAGTGCGGTCCAGAGGCCCTGCTCCAGTCATTCCTACTCAGGGCCTGTTTATTAGTTGGGTTTTTGTTCTTGCTTTTGTTCTATTTTTTTTGTTGTGGTTGTTCTATTCTTTGTATTAAAGTATCACAGAAGTTTGAGTGTGGTTAATTTGTGTGTGGAGCAAGAGGCACTCTCTCCCTTGTCTGGGATTAGCTTGGCAGAAACTTCTCTACTCTATGAAATTTTAGTGTCTTCTTAGATTCCAAGTCCCAAGGTGTAAGACGAAGTAGYCTGGAACATAAGCTGGTTGAAAGCGCTTTCAACGTCCCCTTTCACCAACACAATGTACGATGGAATGGGAGTTCAGTTTCCTCTGGACAGACCAGCTTGTTGTCCTGCTGGGGTTGGGCATCAGCAAAGGTCTTCGAGGAAATTTCTGACAATGAGGCTCAGCTCTAATAAGGCTATGAAGGGCTTTGTTGGATGGTATTTGTTCTGGAGAGGACTCTTCTTAATTGTTAAGTAGACTTTGATGGCTGAAAAGTAGTCTGATGAAACTGGGCACATGGAGAGTGACCTCTGGAGGACCTGTCCTCGTGTTACTGAGTCTCTACGCCTCACCTGTGGCTACTTTCTGAGCAGGGGAGCAGTGGGAAAACACCCTCTCCAATGCCCCCATAACATCCTTGTTTCTGAGACTGTAGATGAGAGGGTTAAGCATGGGTGTGACAATGGTATAGAAGGCAGACACTATCTTGTCCTGTTCAGGTGTGTGGAATGACCGGGGCAGCACATACGTGTAGAAGGCAGCCCCGTAGAAAATGCTGACCACAGTCAGGTGAGATGAACACGTGGTGAAGGCCTTTTTGCGGCCCTCAGCAGAGTGCATGCGGTGGACGGTGAGCAAGATGAGCGCATAGGAAGTGGAGATGATAGAGATGGGGATTAGTAGCATGAGGACACAGCAGAGGTACATCAGGGTCTCATACAAGGAMGTGTCAGCACAGGCCAGTTTGAGAACGGCAGGGATCTCACAGAAAAAATGGTTGATCTGGTGGGAGCCACAGTAAGGGACATTCATGGTGACGGGCGTGAGCAGAAAGCCATCAAGTGAGCCCCCAAACCAGGCACCAGCAGCCAGCAGAAGACATATCTTGCGGTTCATGAGAACTGGGTACCTAAGGGGGTTGCAGACAGCCACATAACGGTCATAGGCCATGAGGCCCAGCAGGAAGAACTCTGAACCAGCAGTGGTCGAGTACAGGAAGATCTGGATGCCACAGGCCACAAAGGAAATGGTCCTCTCTGTAGAAACCATGTCCACCAGGAGCTTTGGGACAGTGGTACAGATGAAAAGGGTGTCCATGATGGACAGCTGGCTGAGCAGGAAGTACATGGAGGTGTGGAGGCGGGAGTCCACTTGAATCAAGACTATCATGACCACATTTGCAGTGACAGCCACCACGAAAATGGCAAAAATGACCGTGAAAACAATCCCCGTGGCCTCCGTGCTCACCAGAAGCCCCAAGAGAACAAAGTCAGAGGTAGAAGTTCTGTTTCCTGTTGACATTGCCAGTGGCAGCTCAGGGGATCAGGGACACCTCAGGATCAGGAGGAAGGGTGGGAAGAGCCAGGTCAGGATGGGGACACCACTCTGCACGGGGGCTGGCGTGGAGGGATTTTCCAGGGCAGGAGCTGGAGAAAAACAAACCAGCAAACTCATCCCAGAGCAGCCACAGATGTGACCCTGTTTCTTGTTGGCAAGTGGCCCTCCTGGCACTGCCTGTGGTCACGCTGCTGTGTGCAGAGAATGGCGAGGGTAGAGATCTCTCGCCTTGGAGTAGAGATTCGCTACGTCTGTTCTGCTCACTCTGCATTATTATGAGTCTGTGATTTACTTAAACAAGGACAAAATCACTGTCTGAAATTCTCAACTATCTGCTGTCCATGAGACATGACCCATAGGCTCAATAAAGCCTACTCAATAGACTCTACTGCTAAAAATGGATTCTGAAATTAATTAGACTGATTCTACAAGTTTTTCTCTGATCCATTTGTTCAAATTACTCTGTAAGTAGTCATGGCTGCTGTCTTTTTTGCCAGGCCTCCCAGAAGGACCATATGGTCAAGGCTTGTCTTAAAATCCTGATCTGTTAATTTAAATTACATTCCAGAGCCTGGTGTGGTGGTGCATGCCTGTAATCTGAGGGAGGCTGAGACAGGAGAATCACAAGTTCAAAGCCAGCCTCAGCAATGGCAAGGTGCTAAGCAGCTTAGTGAGACCCTGCCTCTAATAAAATACAAAATAGGGGTGGGGATATGGCTGAGTTCAATCTCTAGTACTAAAGAAATAAAAAAGAAAATTACATACCATTTCTAAAGGACAATTGAAAATAAATGTTGTCTACAGGAAAGAGATGTTCTACTTTTTACTCCAAAAAATTAATAAAGCTAATCCATAAAAGAGATTTTTATCTCTCTTTGCCACATAAATGAAACAATCCAAATGCATAAACTAGTTCAAGTGAAGAATCCACATTTATCTCTCCATGCACAGCTAGTAGGCTGGGCCAACGCATGGTCTTTAACCTGGGTTGTCCAGGAGCTTTCTCACATCCTCTCTGCTCACCCTGAGTCCCCCTCCAACACAGCAACCAAAGTGACCTTGGGGGATATATTCACCCCAGGTCACTCTCTGCTGAAGCCTGAGCTCAGGGGCCATCGTGTTTTGACTCTTACCTTGAAGTCCTCTCTTGCCCCCTGCAATGTGCTGGTCATGGGGCTGAGGAGGTCATCTTGCTGGTCCTCTGTCCCCACTCGAGGGTCCCAGCCCAGGACCCCTGTCCCAGCTCCCCTGTCCCAGCTCCCCTTGCCTGAGCCCTTTTGCATGTCTAAGCTGGCCATTTCCACATGTGCATCAGGGAATGGTGCAAAGGCCACCTTCTCAGCAGGTGGCTCTGGTCCCACTCGAGGACTTTGTATTTCTTCATGATTCTTAGCACCATGGGACAGACTACAGGTTCATTTTGCTTGTGTTGGACTCTTGGTTCTGGAAAGTGAGCCCCGTGAGGATGAGGATTGGTGCCTATTTTTTTTAACCACTCTCACCATCTAGAAGAATGACTGGTGTGTTGTAAATACTTGTTAAATCATTAAATGGATGGTTTTTAAACACATCACTAATGTAATGCAAATCATGTATTTTTGATTTTTAAGTTAATCCATTTCTTGGATAATTTCTTTTAAATATTTTTAAGTTTGTTTTTTGAAAACGTGCTAATAGCAAACACATTTTCAACAAATGCCAGGCCTGAGCCTGTTCAGTTTGAGGTTGGACACTTGCCTAGTGTGCAGAGGCCCTGTCTCCATCCCTAGCACCATGAAACTCAAGACAGACAAACAAGAAAACAAATACCAGGCCTTTGTGCTTGTCTTTGCTCCAAAATAAAGTTGTCATAAAATAGGATCCCTCCATGTTCTCTAAAGAGACTTAGTTCTAGGAAACAAATTAAAGAAGAATGAAATATGGCATTTGCCAGTAAATGGATGAAACTGGAGATTATCATTCTAAGTGAAATACGCCAATCCCCAAAAAACCAAATTCCAGAAGTTGTCTCTGATATGTGAATGCTAACCCAAAACAAGGGAGAGTGGGAAGGGGACAAATAAAACAAGTCTTCGAAGGTCAAACACTAATACAAATTTACTCCTAAATCTCTGAGGTTAATGTGTATAAATTTGGGACAATTACTCCCTGAGCCTTAAAATCCAGACACCTGCTCACACAGTCCCTAGATGACCACCTTCTTGACTACACAAGAAGAACTCACCCCTTCCTTTGTTTTCTGCACCTGAACTTGCTAAGACAGCTCTTCCTGCAGGCAGGCCCCAGTTATTGTGTTAAAGAGAACTGCAGCCCCCAGTGTTATTAGACATCCAGAGATTGTATTGTGGGGGGAAAAGGTTAAAGTTAGAATTCCTCCTGTATAATAGATAAAAAAGAAGATCGTTATTGTTATGCATGATTTTTTAACAGCAAGTTTTCATCTCCCTCTTATTACCAGAAACAATTGTATCTTTAAAAAATGCCATGAGACTTATGATTAATGTTCCTCCTTAATGAGTTTAGTGAAGCTGTAATAGGCTTAGCAAGTGTTAAGACCAGTTGTGTGCAGAAGAGTCCTCCTCCTGTAATTCCATACATAGCTAGTCCCTGAAACCAAAGGACACACTTTTGTATATGACAGAGACCTTGCAGAGGTGATTAACTCATGGATCTGGGATGAGAACATTTTAGACTCAGTGCAATCAAAAGGCCTTTGAAGGAAGGAGGGAGGCAGGAAGCAGGAAGGGGTGCTGTGCTGTTGGAAGCTGCACCCAGACTGATCCAGTCCATGGATTTGAAGTAGAGGGGGCTGTTCAGGAAGTCCTAGGCAGGGGCCAGCTCTGGGGGTCCAACAAACCAGGTCCGGCCACTCAAAAACCAAACAGAAATGGGTTCCCATGAGGGAACCACAGCTCCCCCAACAGGAGGAGTTTAGCCTATGTGGCCACCTTTGGGATTCTGACCTCCTGGACTGTAACATGTTAAGCTGGGTTTGTGACAGCATAATATCCATAGGAAACTAACATTCCAATAAATAATTCTCTCAGTTTTTAAATAAAAGCAAGACAAGATGCTAATAATAAATTGGCCTGCACCTATGCAATCCTCAGTGTCCCAGGTTTTGACGAGGCCACTTGTAACCCAGCGACAAGGTCATGACTGAGGCATCACCACCTCTCAGCTCAGAGAGGGGAAGCTGCAGAGCTGAGTCAAGGCTTAGGGATCTGGCCTCCATCTTCCCTGCTCTCTGCTCCTCTTCTTAACTATGCCCAAGGGGCAAGGATCCTCCATGCTTCAGTTAAGTTCAAATCACCTGGTAGAGGTTAAATGACTACAAGGGATAAAGCTATAATCACATTCAGGAAAAAATTTTCCTTCAAACATAGTCAATAATTAATAAAGTAACTAAAAGAAGTCATTTTTTTAAGAAGTCAAACTGAAAATTCTTCCTAACTCCTGGGAAATCCCCAGTTCTCAGGCATCTGCCTTCAAGTGCCTGGCTTCATGTGGAGGTAGGACACACACACACTGTTCTCACCCAACGCCCCTTGAGAAAGATCCTGCAAACTCCTAGCTCAGAAATCTGACATTAAGCCTCTGTCACCAAGGAAGGAGAGCTTCTTATCTCCAAGGGAACAGGGTGCCTGTCCTCTGGGCCTGCTCCCAGCCCTTCACCAGCGTCCCCACCATTACATACTGTGAGATCCAATTTGCTTTGGGGGACCTGAGCGTTGAAGGAGATTTTCAGCAAAGTGTGTCGGGAGGAGCTGGCAGAGTTCACTCTGAGTAAGAACCCCTGAGACCAAGACTACTACTTACAACTGACAGAAGGAAAAGCAACACAGGCATTTTGAAAAAAAAGTTGCATGAAGTGTGAATCTAATTTAAAACTTTGTGGAATAAATTGAAATGCTACTAGAGAAATCCTRTCAATGATTTACAAAACTAAAACTATGAATTAATTTAGCATATGTTTTGACCTAGTTGCCTTTTCCTACTGTATTTTCCTAAGCACAAATATCCTCAAATGGGGAGGAGACGGGTTTCCCTCCTTAAATAGCATTTGGAAAATCCTTGAAGGGAAGTGGCCACCTGTGTGAGCTGAATCCAGTGTCCTCACATGGTACCTGTCTGGTCCTAGCAGCGCACCACACTGCTCTCTCTAACAGGCTTCCTGAGTGTGTGGGTGCTCAGAGGTGCAGACCAGCTCCCCACCCTGGGCATGGACAGCAGTTACAGAGGACTCATTCAGTCTGATGATTCACTGCTGGGCTGACCTCAGTCTCCAGAGTTAGTCTCTAAGCATCACATCTTGGGGGAGTGAGGGGTGTGGGCCTCCTTTGCTTCTGGTGATCTCCTCAGCCCCTCCGGGGGAGTCATGGACATAGCCCTGGACTCTCCCCCAGCACTGTCTGCCACTACTGGCCTGGTGCCACCTCCTGTCCTCTCCGTCATGTGCCCTGTGAGGCCATCAGTGGAGGGTGGCTACGGGCACAGGCTGGCACCTGAGGCTGTTCCTCCCCAGAGCAGGAGCACCAGGAGTTTGCTCAGCAAGACGCTGGGAAGCAGGGGTGCTTATTCCTCTGCTGCAGAGGCCCAGGTGCAGGGTGGAGAGGCTGTAGCAGAAGTGGGTCCTGCAACCTGGCCAGCTTGAGCCCTAGTGAGAGCAGGACTGTGTCAACATTGGGGACCAAGGGGGGACCTGCAAAGATTGCTGGTAGGAGTGGGCATTGAGTCAGTATAAAAACCTGAAAGAGCATAAATTTCACTAGGAAATTTTAATACGGAGATAATCAGATGAGAGGCAGCTTATTCTATTAAAAACTCCTCTTGGCGTTATTTCCAATAAGAAAGCCAGGAGACTGAGCATCATTGGCTGCACCCACACTGAATCACTTAGGCTTCAGCACATCACGGTGCTCCAAGTGGCCATTGTGACACGAGGGAGGTCTCCACATCCCCATGGTTTGAAAGTTTCATTGTGCTTGTAAGAGAAAAGGGTAGCGTGGGTGCGTACTTCATATCCACAGCCTCATGGACACAGTCTGACACTCTCCATCTTCAGGCTGAGAGCACTCGGTACCTTCATGGCACATGTCATAGCTGATTTCTTAGAAATACTCAGCGTGCATTATTTTCAAATGAGAACCATTACTTGCAATCAACCCCGCCTTGGGTCAGAGTGAGCTACCTTTTCTCCCTTTGAGGAGATTCTGTAGCTTGCCTGGGAGAAGAGAAAGCTGCTGTCTGCAGAGCCCCGTCAGCTGTTCAGAAGCCAAGGCCTCGGCCCGTCTTACCTGTGTTAAGAGAAGCCTCCTGCTTGCACCTATAGGAGCTATAGGAGCCCATGCCCCCTGTAGCCCCCACCACCTGTCTGAAGCACCCCCTGGGAGGAACCTGGCAGAAGCCAGTGGTGTCCCTTCATCTGAAGTCACTTAAGAACTAGTGAAGTTGGACAGAAGGTAACTATAGTTATTAGCTTTTAGCTCAGCATACAGTTCTTTTCTTTTTAAAAATATATTTTAGTTGTCAGTGGATCTTTTATTTATTTATATGGAGTGCTGAGACTCAAACCCAGGGCCTCACATATGCCAGGCAAGTGCTCTACCACTGAGCCACAACTCCAGCCCCCCTCAACATACAATTCCATGTGAGCTGGTGAAGCACATTTAATTTAATTGAGCTTCAGTTTCCATGCTGTCCTTCAAACCCAAGATAGCCTGGAAAAAGTAAAATAATAATAATAATAATAATAATAATAATAATTTATTAACTTGAGATGTGTACATAGAGTGCCACACCTTCTAAATGCAGTGGCTTCCACTCATTCATTACCCTGATATTTATTGACAACATATTCTAATTCAGGAAAATGCCTATGTGCTTGGGAAGCAGAACAAAATGAAGATCCTGGTTTTTGTTACATGATAAGTAAAACTGAATAAAAACCAAATGAGCCTAAAGGGCTGATGAAAGGAACAGGAGAAAGCCTGTGGGCTGGTCAGGCTGGCGCAGAGGCGTGTGTGCATGAATGGCTCACCTTGCTCCTCTCAGCTGGTTTGTAGCAGATGGTCAGAACCCACCGTTTTACATCTCCATAATGTTGAGTGAAGCAGGCAAGGGGGGTTTGGCAAAGACCTTGCTGCTTTGTCAGATTTAGGAAGTTCTGCCCTCAACACAATCCCAATGGAAAAAATAATGAACAAAGCTTCCTCTGGTTCAGCTCCTAGTTTTCTCAGGAAACACTCTGTGTTTCAGGTCAAGCTCTGGAGGCCATGTAGCTATCTGCCATCACTGTGGCCTGGCCCGGGTACATAGGAACTCCTGTGAGAGTCGGGACTGATGGCCGAGATCAGGCCTCATAGTGGCGCCTCACTGCAGCCCGCCAGCCACAGGTCTGGGTCAGGACTGTGCTGTCACCCCCCCAGGCCACAGAGGCCTGCTTTGTCCTCTCCCTGCTGAGTCAACGTCTGCATAACTGTCTCTAGTCAGCTTATCTAAGCACTGCTTTTCTGAAATCTCCCTTAGTGTTTATAGATTAGAGGACACAGGTGCTTTGTGTTTTTCACTGTTAAAATTTTACATTGTATAAATAAAAATATTTACTTACGTAAAACAATATATGGAAGCCTGAGTTCAGATCACTTCATGTTCACATCTTTCACATACAGAAAGACCTCACAGAAGGTCTTTTTTCTCTCCAGATTGGTCCTCAGGCTGTAAGTAGACCAGTTCACCTGGCATCCGGCAAGAATTAATCATGACTTTTATCAGCACCTTGCTCTTGGGGGACTTTTGTCCAGGCCATTATCAGGATGACCAAACTGGCAGCTGCGTTCTGCATTACCTGCTCTCTCCTTTGACAGTTGTCTGCCAGTTAATATCAAGGTCTACACACAGTGAAAATCAGACCAGAAGTCACAAGTCCTGGTCTGAGTCCCTGAGTGCCTGTTGCTCAAGTGAGGTGATAATTTGTCTGAACATCAGCTTTTTCATCTCCCATGGGGCTAATTATTTTTTAAATACCTCATAGAACTTTGTAAGGATCAGGTAATACAATTTAATATAATTTGAAATATAGGGACATATTTTTATTTRTCTTTTTGCCATCATCTGGAATGGTGTGTGCCCTGTTGCAAGTATGCAATTGATAATATTAAAATTGATTTTAGGTTTTTATAATTGTCATTTCCAAGTTAATGCATCATCTTTAATAAAGAGGAAAATCTGGTGACCACAAATTTACTCATATGGAAATTAGGTGAACTAACCTTAGGAAAAAATCTCTTGCTCTCCCTCTTAGGTTGTGACTCATCTTTGGTTCTGAGGAGTGGACACCCACCACGTGCCATGCATGATGGGTTTTCCAGTTGTTTAGAGAAAATCCATGGGAAGTGTTCATGTAGATCAGCCCTCACAATGTGACACTGTGGAACCAGCCCCGAGTTTGCTGACCTGAGTCTTCAACGGCATGGCAGAATTCACCTCCCTCCATGCCCAGCCAGCAATGCCCATGACCTCTGCAGGGATTGTCCAAGTGCTCTTCTCTTCCTCATTGCTTTTCAAGTATTTTGAATATTTTGAAATATCAATCAATGTATAGGTCAAATGCCTTTGTTAATCATGCAAGAAAATTAATCTTGAAAATACAAGAACAAACACCCTAGCACATATTTACACAGGCCTCAGGTGATGTCCGGGACTCCATGGAAACAGGAAGGAGAGGGAGTCCCAGTGGGGAAGAAACTGGATGTGCAGCATGCAGTGACCTTGTGGAAGGAAAGGGCAGCAGAGGTGCTGCAGGCTGGAGGAAGGAGAAGGAAAGGGCTGTCGGGCCACGGGACACGGTGTTCACCAGGCTGAATGGGAACATGGGGGAGGATTTTCCCAAACGAATCCAGGCTGCCTCGCGCTTCAGGAAATGCTCCTCCAGCCAACCTTCCATCCCTTTCCTGCTTGTTACTTGTTTAACTTCAGGATAAAGTACAATTTCTGGGAACCTGGGAGACAGAGCAGGCCAGTGGTGGGCTCACTGCAGGGAAGCTGTCCACCTGGGTGGGCACTGCTAGGGGATGCTTCCCTCTGCCTCCGAGTTGGTGCCAGGGAGCAAAGGATGGAGTAGACTTTGGTTAGTCTTTGTCGGCTACACATCACCTGAAAATTGTCCAATTTTTCCTAAGCCTTGTGCTGCTAGAGGAAAGTAGCACCAGTGAACGCCAAGGTGTCTTATTTCTCAAGTTTGAGGCCCCTATGCACAGAAGGAAGTGAAATAATAGGTCATGGAAGGTTCCCTGTCCTCTGGTCAGTTGAAGTTGGATTCAAGTTGACCACCTATCAAAACACCACATCGAACCTCAACTAATTGGAAAAGAAAGGCGTTTCTACCAACATGTCACCAGAGAGGCGAAGAGAGAGAACACAGAGCCCGTTAGCCCAGAGGACCTAATGATAGCTAGGCAGAGGTCTTCATGTGCTCATTCTGCATTCATCTGTTACCACTTTATTAAATATTAATTGAAGTTGATTTAGACTTTAAAACTTGAAGGCAGTTTCAACTTTCAATCAACCAGTCAAGCAAACAATAATTAATTTCTGGCTAAGCCCTAGACTATGGGAAGAGAGGCATGGTAAGAATCTATCATGTAAATTCATAGCCAAGAAAATAAAGAGATAAAATGTGATTGAAAACACAGAACCTCAAACACAATCCCATGTTCACAAAACTTTTAAATAAGACTGAGCCACCATCAGCATCACAGACTATTTTACCCTGTTGACTTTTTGAAACTAAATCATCCAGGACATGGCAAAAGTTCCTTGCAATTTGCATGTGAAAGTTGGTTAGCAATGGGACATGAAGGATCAGGACCCCACGTGACATGCATCCATGCAGGGCATTCCATAGGGGTGCTCACCTGGGGCCAGAGTGCCACCTGCCTGAGAACACTGGCTAGAAAACATTTGCTGCTCCACCCGCACAGGAGCTGGCTGGCTCTGATGCTCTGCCAGCTTCATTTCCACTCCTGGTGACACTTGCACAGGCTGGTGAGCCAGCTGAGGACTGAAGACTGCCGGAAAGACACTGAACATATTTCATAACAAAGGACATCTGTCACTGGCCACGAGAGCAGGGATGCCCTTGGTCCCCTAGTGTTTCCTAGACACATCTCCTGGTCTTATTCTCTGGGAGAAATCACATCTCCCCAGCAATTTCCTCAGGGCTGAGGCCACCTCTTTATTCCTCAGGCTGTAGATGAGGGGGTTGAGCATGGGGGTGAGGATGGTGTAGAAGGCGGACACCACCTTGTCCTTCTCTGGCGTATGGTAGGAATGGGGCAGCACATTCGTGTAGAAGGCGGCCCCGTAAAATATGCTCACCACCATGATGTGGGAGGAGCAGGTAGCGAAGGCTTTGCGCCTGCCCTCTGCGGAGTTCATGCGGTGGACGGTGATGAGGATGCGCGTGTAGGACACAGAGATGATGGAAACGGGGATGAGCAGCATCAGCACACAGCAAGCATACATCAGCGTCTCGTAGAGTGATGTATCTACGCAGGACAGCTTCAGGACCGCTGGGATCTCACAGAAAAAGTGGTTGATCTCTCGGGACCCACAGTAGGGGAAACTCATGGTCACAGGGGTCAGCATGAATCCATCCAAGGAGCCACCAGCCCAGGAGCCCAGAACCATGATCAAGCAAATCCTGCGGTTCATGAGGAGAGGGTACCGCAGGGGGTTGCACACGGCCACATACCGGTCATAGGCCATGAGGCCCAGCAGGAAGAACTCCCCTCCGATCAGGGTCAAGTAGAAGAAGATCTGAAGTGCACACCCCAGGAAGGAGATGGTCTTTTCCTTGGCCAGAAGGTCTTGGAGCATCTTGGGGACAGTGACACAGATGTAGATGGTGTCCATGATGGAAAGCTGGCTCAGCAGGAAGTACATGGGTGTGTGGAGGCGGGAGTCCACATGGATGAGTAGAACCATGACCATGTTGGCCGTGACGGCCACCAGGAAGATGGAGAACACCACGGCAAAGATGAGTCCAGGGAGTGCTGGCCGGGTGACGAGGCCCAGGAGGAGGAAGTCAGTGGAGTTCTGGGGCGTGGGTTCCATGTCCAGGTCACATGGCAGGCCTGGGCTGTGAGACAGAAAGTTGGGGGTCAACTGGTTGTCCAATGATCACTCAGCACAAATAGCATGGCTGAAGCMATGTGGGGTCAAGGAAGAAACAGGAACACAGAACCATTTGAATCCCTGTGACTTTGCCCATGTTCATCGCCCTCTAAGTCAGCACCAGTCTTTGGGAGAGGTCATCAGGGCCTGGGCTGCATGGGATGGATGTAAGAAGGACATGCTGTGATCCTTTGGGACTTGCACCCACCTTTGTTCTCCACCATCTTCTAGATTCATTTTATAACCTTGTCACTCTGGGTTGGAAGCTCCTCTTAACCCCTACACTGTCTAGCAATCCACGTACCTCAGTTCACTGCATTTAAGGGGCTCTCTGCTGTTAAGATGACTACAGTGTTAGGGCCAGGTGCAGACGCCCCTCTGAGACCTGAGAAATTGATATGAAAGGAACAGGGAKCTGAGGTCTCTGGACACATTGGGCTTTTGAGCTGCTGTTATTCCTCCACAGTGGTGAGAACATTCAGGGCATCAGAGGTTAGCAGGGCAATCTGGTCACTCCCTTGAGGTCAGGTCCACTGTCCTGCAGTCAGACCTGTGCTGCAAAGGGAGTTTAGAACTTAGCATGGGCTACTCCAGGCACTTGGCTCCCAGTTCTCACAGGACAGCCTGGGGCCAGAGCTGAGGGAGGACCCCTGTGGACTCTGCTCAGCACGCTGTGCTTTGGGTCCTCGATGGGGTCTTTCCGGCTGACACTGGAGTCTCTGAAATTTTATGGCTGGGTACTGGCCTCAGCACAGAGGGACAGCCTAGCTGCTGTCCGGTGTTGTTCAGCCATGGCCTTGGCAGACTCCCTGAAGGGGTCAGAAGCCCCCCCCCACCCCACCAAGGAGGGGTTGTTCCAGGAGCCCTGGGCCAGTGGGTCTTCTAGCCTTACATTTATTTCTCTACAGTGTTCTGAATCCTCTATGTCTGTAAATAAAAATAACTATAGATGGGAAAGAAATATCTAAACTCAGAGTAAAAAACACAGCAGTATTGAAACTCCTTCACATCGATTAAATTAAAGGAATCCTTGTGCTTTTTATTCTAATATAGCCGTAATGCCTACCTCTTTGATATAGTCAAAGGTATTGAGAGGTAAATTGTCCACTTTATTATTAGYGTATAATGGCCTTTCTTCATTTCTGTGACACCCTGTGTTGGCCAGCAGTACTAGACAGTACACCTGCATCTTTGGCTCCAAAACATCATGTATGTGGTCTCTGAAGCATCAAGCAGAAATGACTGCCCTGGGCTGGAGCAGAGTAGGAGAAGTGTGGAGGAGCATATCTCGGCTCAGTGTTTGCCTGAGATGGGGATTTATTAGAAGAAACCATCCCTATGCGTGAGGACAATTCAGAGAGAAAGTGAGAGTGCCTTAATATGGGCAGAGGCGAAGCTGTGTGAGACAGCTCATCAACCGGGGGTGGGGGGAAAGCAGACCCCGAGAAGAGAGGCCACTCCCTGCAGCTGTCCCTCCTTAGTATGTGCAAGACTCTCTGTAATAGCCACAGCTTGAATCACAAGCCAAGAAAGACACGGGTAATACTGTGACTAAGGCCCGACCCGTGGGCTTCTGAACCACCGCTGGCAATCAGCAGGTTCTCCAAGGAAGGCATCACCCTGGCCCACCACCTGTCAGTCAGGTGACCGAGGCTGCCGTGTGCCGAAGGCTGCTTCCTCTAAAGCAGCTGACAAAYAGCCTTCTAAATTACATTTTGAAAAACTGTAATGAATGACAATGTGAAAAATGAACATTACCTAAAAATTAACTGAATTACCCTGGAAAATAGCAAATTGCTTTTGAGTTAAAGCAGGGGCCCGAGAGTTGTGCTTCAGTTAAGTCAGCTTACACCTCAAATGGTGTTTGAAAACAGGAGGTGAATCACTGTGCCTCTGCCTCCCTGGTTAGGAACTGAAGCTTGCTACCCCCTGTGTCCTCCCTTAGAGTGGACGTGGAAGGGGAGAACTCTAGCAATTGCAGAGGGGAAGATGCTTTGGCCCCCCTCTGTCCTGAGTGCCAGACCCAGGTTGCCTGTGGGTGTGACTCTGGGAACACTGGGTGTGGGCATGTGTGTGTGTGCACAGTCATGTATGTGATGTCTGTAAGGTCTCGGGGATGGTGTGTGCAGTGTGGGCTCGTGTGTGCTGTGTGCTGTGTGCGGTGCGATTACGGTGTGAGTGTGCAGAATTCATTCATGCTTCTGGTGTGTGTGCTGTGCATTTGTGAGTGTGCCTATATGTGCTTGAGGATGTGCATGTGTGTGTTGTAGGTGCTGTGTGGTGTGTGTGAGTGTGTGGGTGTGTAAGCAGTATTACCCCACAAGCCACGGTCAGCACTGGAGAATGACTTTCTGAGAGCAGGTAAATTAGGACTTGTGCTAGGAACACACTATTCAGGAGCTCTTCGCCTGCAGGTTCCCTGCACCCACTTCTCACACTAGAGTGACACTCCTGTTCAACACATGTGCTGGCTGCTCCGCATACCCCAGGCCCCAGATCCTGCCCTTCAGGCCCCCTTTCCCCTACTCTCTTCTCCCTGGTCAAGGCCTCAGGCTTTCCCAATCTTCCTGTCCAATCTGAGTCTTTCTAAAAATATGAAATAAAATAAGGAGAAACCTCTAATCTGCTCTAATCTCAGAGCTGTTCAGAATGTCACATAGAATACTCTGATCCCAGTACTGGTGGTGACACCACTGGGTCCCCACATAACCACTTGTGGACAGTGCAGGTGGAGAGGCTCTGGGGTCTGCACCTGTGACTGAAGAGGGATGGGGTGGCTGGTGTGGTGAGAGGGTTGAAAGCCCCTGGGGGTCGGCCTCTGGGAGGACAGGTGAGGGGAAGGAGGCAGCCTCTCCAGGGTGCCAGTGTGTCTGGGACAACAGGCCTGGGCTGTTCTGGAGAGGCCACAAGCCCAGGCAGTCGGTGCCTCTCACAGCAGCCTGTGGAGGAGACGCCCAGGTGAGGGCCAAGGACATACCACCAGGGGGAGGTGCCTGGGCCTGTCCCTTCTAACACCTTCCCAGGAGTCCAGGAACGCTAGAGCTGCAGGGCCATTGTCCTGTGTGGCATGAGGTTGCTGTCCTCCCATAGAGCAGGGCTCCTGCAGTGTCCCCAGAGGCAAGAGGTGCTCCCACTCCCAGAGACCCAACCCTCAGGTGCTCCAAACTTGTGCTCAGTCACTGTGCCCAGCAGGGCGTGGGCCACAGACTCCAGGAGCCACTGTCGCTGCCCAGGGTRCAGCCAGGTGGACAGACTCAGCCTGGGGCAGAAGTCCTCAGAGAGCAGGCTCCTGTGAGCCTACCAGGCATTCTGCAGAAGGGAATGTGTTATGTCCATGAATCATGTCACAGCCACAGAAATCAGGTGACAGGAGCAGCTTGTGCGGCTGTGCTGGGGGCTGGGGCTTCCCCGAGGAAGGGGGGCACCGGGTCCCCCAGGTTTCCTGCAGTAAAGATGGTGTCACACTCCTAATCAGTGGCACCCTCTGGCTCTGAGGATCAAGGCTTGCTTCTGAAGGAGGAAAGCGGCACTAGGACAGCCTGTTGGGGTGCAGCTGCTCTGAACAGAGTTCCCCAAAATGACAAAGACTTGAGTGTGGGGAGGCAGAGGGTGACCAGCAGGAAGTGCAGCACAGGCCCACACTTGGCTGCCTCTCAGGTGTGGGGCACAGCCAGGAGGAGCCTGCTGCCCACCTGCTGTCCCAGGGTCCACAATACTGCACCTGAAACCCCCTGTGGGCTGGAGGCCAGATGCTCTCAAGTGCACAGCATTTGAGAGCTTGTGAGGGAGTGAGTCTTTGTGAAGCATTTCCCACAAACCAAGAGAAGACCAGAGTCAGCCCAGTTAGGAAGACTGAGACCCAGAGGTGGAAATTGGTCTGAATTAAAATTGAGACTGAGAAAAAGGAGGGAGATCTGGGTGCCTCAGGGTACTGTGTCCCAGGAGGGCAGGCCGCAGGCTGCTGGTGGGGGGAAGGAGCCAGGCCACACACAGCGGCAGAGCAGGTGTGGAACCCAGGCACAGAGGGACTGGACAGCAAAGCCAGAGGCTGCCACTCAAAACACCTAGAAGCAGGGTGTGGAGGCGAGCAGCCCCAGCAGCAGCACCTGGTAAGGTGGCTGTGGGAGAACGGCTCCCTGCAGCACCATCCTGTGTCACTGCTAACAGATGTTACAGCCTCCCTGGGCTGCAACCTCTGGACCCCTCCACCCACACCCACTGTGGCTGGGCTCCTTTGCCTGTGCTCACATCCAGGAACCATGTGCACACTGCCTCAGAGCACACCTGGTCAGAGATCAAAGCATTGTGTCCTTAGTCTCCACTGATGTGGACTGGCCCCTTCACCACGGCCTCCCTACGTCTCATGATCACATATTTCCCAGAAGACCCACACCTTCTTCATTTACCAGAGATTGCTGCCTTCCTCACTCTCTATCCCCAGAGTCAACTTAGAAGTTTGCAAAGTAGAAACTTAAGCATGAAGAAGAATGAAGAACCTTTCCTTATGTTAAAACTCAGCGCTATAATGGAATGTGTGTAGTGTTTACTGAACACTAATGTGCCAGGAATTAGTTCATTAGGGGCATTATTTAGTGCCAAATACCAATTTACCTCAAACGAACTTTATCAAGAAATCTGGGAAAAAAGTCATCTGAGTTCCTGGAGCATTGGTGAAGAGTCCGAGGTCCAAGCTGCCAGCTGCCAYGGCAGAAGGGTAATGCATAAGTCAAGCCTCAGAGCCGTGGTGGGAAGGGGAATAGCCCCCCCCCCCATTGATTCCACAGAGAAGGACCTGGAAGGTGGTCCACCTGGCTCCCACTAATGCCACAGAGGTTGAGAGGGAGAAATCACCCATGACACCAGCAGGGGGGTGGACACAGAGACCCAAGGCATGCTCACAACTGCACCCACAATCTAAGCTTCCAACGCAGACACATCACCCCATCTGCCTCTCTCTGAGCCCAGTGGGCTTTCATACACCGWGATATGTGGCTTCCAGTGGGTTTCTTTGAGGGATATCATCTGTTTATGAATAGAGAAGGTTTTCTTTAAGGCATATGTGTATGTCTTAGGGAGAAAGAAAAAGAGGAGGGAGTCAATAAAACATGACAACATTTGACATAGTAAATCTCCTCCCAAACTTGCAGGGAAGCGTCGCCCACTCTCGACTATGTCCAAGAGGGCATCCTTGACTCAAAAATATGCAATAATATGCACTATTAAGAACTTGCCCCTTGCCACCTGGCGAGTCACGTCAGAAACTGCTTGTACTTAAAGCACACTCTTCCAAACAGCAGCTCCTACGGACACTTTCATCTCCAGAAAATCCTTTCACACCCTTGCATTACCAGGCTCCCTATTCCTGGTTTCTAGCTACAGCATCTCATTTTTGATGGTCTGCTAGCCAGAGACAATGTACGTATTCATCATTCTCCATCTGGAGAAGACCACCCCTCAGCCATCATCCTTCCTCTTAGGACATGAGTCCTAGGAGGAAGCATCAGAGAAGGTGAYGAATGGTGGCCTCTCATAGTTACAGAATGATGCCCAGAGGAAACTTTCAGAATCTTAGAAATGTTTTCCATGAAAATCTTAGTTCCTACCTCAGAGCAGGTGAGTCCCAGGCTTACAAAGGTAACAGTGAACGGCCAACTTCTTAAATGCCCGGGACTGGGGGTGAAGCTCCTTGTAACCACGGATTTCCACACCCCAGGAGGAATCTTGGTATTGTTAATTAATCCAGGTTCACTTGGTGAACCTTGGGCCTCAGAGGAAGCCCCTTCCCACTCACCAGCAGGTGTGTTCTGTCCCAGGTGAGAGGCTGAGGTGGTTTCTCCAGGTTTCATCACAGGAYTGCTGGTCTCATCCCAGCCTCTCTCAGGGGAAACGAGAACAAAAGAGAACTAACAGTGATCTGGTCCAGCTTCACTGAGGTGTCCCTGCAGGAGAGCTTCAGAAGGGCGGGGACCTCGCAGAAAAAGTGGTTGATTGCCCGAGAGGCACAGAAGGGGAACTGCATGGTGACTGGGGTGAGCAGGAAACCGTCTGCAGACCCTCCCAGCCAGGCGGCCACCACGATCAGCAGGCAGACCTTGCGGCTCATCAGCACAGGGTAGCGCAGAGGGTGGCAGATGGCCACATAGYGGTCGTAGGACATGAGTCCTAGGAGGAAGAACTCTGCCCCTGCCAAGGTCAGGTAGAGGAAGTGCTGGGCAGTGCACCCTGCAAAGGAGATGGCCCTCTGGCTGGTGGCCTGGTCCAGCAGCATCTTGGGCACGATGGTGGAGATRTACAGGATGTCCATGAGGGAGAGCTGGCTGAGCAGGAAGTACATGGGGGTGTGCAGCCGGGGGTCCGCGCGGATGAGCAGGATCATGGTGGTGTTGCTGGCGATGGAGATCACGAAGACCAGGAGAATGAGGGAAAAGAGCAGCCAGGGGAAGTGGCTGCCACTGAACAACCCCAGGAGGACAAAGTCAGCGTACAGGGAGCTGTTGCCCCACTCCATAGCGCTGCAGGCTGCACAGAGGGTGGGACTCAAGCTGGAGAAGTACAGGTGGGCTTAGAGCATCATGGAGTGGCCACGCCCAGATCCAGGCTCAGGTTTCTGACCTCACGAATCTTGGAACAGGCTGGGCAGGTGTTTTGTCCCATTACAGCATCATCCACTCAGGAGCAGGATGCCCGCCCAGAGGCCTGGCCTTGCTAAGTTAGAGGTTCTGAGGCAGCAAGCCCATCTGCTTTTGTTTAAGGACATTCRTCCTCTGTCTCTCAAGCACTTCCTACCTGGAGAGGAGCCGTCCTGCTGGACAGGGCAGAGTGGACGTGAAAATAGTGGCCAGCCCAGCCCTACCCTGCGCCAGGCTTTGGTCCTCACACTGCAGGGTCAAAGCCCCACAAGTCAGGAGCACGTGTGCTGTCCATGGGGAGACGACCATGTGGGATCCACCTGGTTTGCAGGTTCTTGAAGGTTTGCACACTGTAAAACTCKATGCTTGACGTGTTTATCAGGTGCTCAGTGTTGGAAGGCAAAGACTCTGCTAAAGTGTGAACACAGAGCTCTCACTGTGAGGGGTAATCCAGAGGTCAGCAGAGAAAGGCTGTCAATGGGGGAAGTAATGTTGAGGATCAGGGTTGTTATCTTCCCCTTTCAGCAGAAAACTATGGGTTATTAGCACATAACTTACTCACCTGTGAAGTGAATAAAGGCAGTGATTATGATACAACATTTTAATAGAAAAATAGAAGGATGAACTGATTTAAATAGTATCAGGAGTTATTATCTCCCAAGTTACTTTGCTCTTAAATTTGAAGTCAGATCATGCACACATAGCCATTTCAGTTAAATAATATCTTACCACAAATATGAACATTATGGGTCACTTGGACAGTTTATGTTGACATCACAGAGAACTATATTGTGCAGCCTGGTATGCAGGAGTCCCAGGAAGCTGCTGAGCTCCTGAAACATTAAAACTGAGGATGTACTGTAACTACACAGTAATTGCAGAGGTCTGGTGACCCATAAATAGTAAGTTATATTAGGGTTAGGGTTAGTCCTCATGAAATACTAGAGGACTCTCTACCCACTCCACAGAGAAAAAAGGTGAGACCTAAAGAGGGTCAGAAACTCCCCAGGGCACAGGCTCTGCTAGTCCAGGGCAGTATAACTGCTCTAGGCTGTTTTTTGCTGAGCCAGAGTGGACAGAGAGTGTCGTGAATTAAACATGCATTAAACCAGTTAATTCATCAGTACCTCACCCTGGGCAAACCAAACTTTTAGGTTCTGAGTGGACCTAAAAGACTGTGAAGACCTGGTCCCTTCTTGCAAGGAGCACAGAGAAGGGACAGGAATTGCCCTTGCAGTGTGTGTGGCAGGGTGTCCTTCAAGAATGGCTTTGATCAGAATCTCCAGGGTTTTGGCTTCTCTCTGGCTGGTGCACAAGAGAGAAGAAGAGGGCAGAACAGGGAGAGGACAGGGCAGGGCAGCAATGCAAGCCGGAGCCCAGGGCTGCACACAAGAGGTCCAGTCAGAACCCCTGGGCAGTTGGCCACAGCCACCATGGATGGATGTCAATCATGAAGAGTGAATCCTCAGCCCACCTCGACCCAGGAGCCTGGCTCCCTGTGCTCTGTCCATCTTCCCTTGTCCTAAGACATAGCTGGTTCCCAGCAGAGCTCCTMTCCAGCTGTTTTCCTGACGTATCCCCTTTCTAATTTTGCCTTCTTTCTCTCCACTGTCTTAAACCTCTGGGGAAATTAAAGAAAAGCACTCAGCAGCATTTCAAGTGATGGAGAGAGAGAGCGAGCAAGATGCCTCCTAGTGCTGACCTTCAGCATTTTAATGAGAGCAAGCCCCGGGGAGAGCTGCGATCATTAGTGCACTACAGATCCAGGGAATGGCAGGTGGTCAGTGGAGATCAGGCACAGAGACTGCCATTGGTCCATGGCGAATGCCAAAGCCCAAGAGCACTAATGGGCACATGCGCCTTCCTGTCAGGGTGTTGTCCCCAGCCCTGACCAAGAACATTCCTGGAGCTGAACTTGCTAATGAGGCCTTGGAGACTTCCCAGCCTTGCTCACAAAGGAAGGGAGATTGGAGGCTCATAATTCCTTAGATTTTAAGAGCATCTTTGTTCTTCTCTGTCAGTGTTGTCTGTGTCCTGTGTTTAAACCATCACAAAGGAGTATAATAGCACTGAGGAGAATATGGGAAAGGAGAAAAGGGAAAGGAATCCCCTGGGATACTCCATGCCCTTGTATAAAAATCGTTATGTCTATGCATAACTCATGCTATTCTACTCTATTCCAGTCCATTATTTTATTATTTATGGTGGTGCTATGAATTGAACATGCAAGCACTCTACCACTGAACCACACCCCTGTGCCTTACTTAAACTTTAGCATTCTTCCAATCTGATATGTAGTTAAGACCCCTTTTCTKTGTAGATGTGGGGTGTCTTCTCAGATTACTGTGATGGTTGATTGATGTGACATGCACTTTTGAGGGCTCCTTGTTTGATTAACAAGCACATTGCTTCTCAGTTTGCTTATGAAACACTGTATCGTGAGGTTGCTTCTCTGGGTAGGTGGTGGAAGGTGGGTTATTGGGCTTTAGAATCCTGTCACCAGAGTGCTAGATGGGCTGCTGACCAGTGATGCCAGCCAACCACAGAGCACACTCGGGGCTCCCTGCTTGCCCAGCTCTTAGCAAGAGCATCTATATGGTAATTTATATGATTTTTGTTTATGACTAAGAAACCTGGGAATTTTTTCATGGTTATATTTTCCCCTCTCTATATATTGGGATTTAATCGCTCATGACATTTGCCCTTTTTAATATTAGGGATTTTTCAAAATTGGCCTGCTTTCTTTATAGAATAAGGGCATTCTAAGTGTGATATTTGTTACAACTTCTTTACCCAAACCATTACTTTTATTTGTACTTTGATTTTAGGCCAGAGAATTTCTAAATATTTATGTGCTGAGTCCCTCCCCTGACTCAGGCAATGGCAAGGTTCTACTGAGGTGGATGGTGCAAGGTGTCCATCCTCTGGAGGAGCACAGTATGTTTCTGGGAATGGGCTGCTTTGTTTTTGTATTCCTTTAATAAGTATAGTTGGGACTTCTCATATGACCATTAAGTATGAAGGAAAAAACATGACTTTCCCAATTAATGCAAGTACTTCTAAAGAATAGATCTATTTGCTCTAAATGCAATGATTCAGCTGTGGAGTGTAAATTGTTAATGTCTAATGAAAAACTCCCTGTATTCCTGTTCAGGAAGTTTTTGAGAAATTAAATTAAAATCTAGAGAAGAAGAATTAATGTTAAGAAGACAGATTAGTGCTTAGTACTGGGCAACTTGTTCTTGTTCCTGTGCACAATGGTTTGTGCTCTTACTCTTGTGTGATTAAAATTAATAATAAGTCAACCACTTGCTGTAACCATGGCATCGGTTCCAGTAAGTAAGTCAAGAAATAATAGTCAAGGTATAGGCCAATAGTTTGGGACATTTCTAACTATTATTAAAAGTTAACTAAGCAGAAACAGCTCAAAGCAATACATGAACTGAAAGTAAAAATGCTTGCTTATGCATAAGCCAAGATACATTCTTCTATTCTAATTGTAGTTATGTAATTCTTTGTTTCTTTGAATAATGATTCCTGTTTCGTAACCACAAAGTACTGTGAGCCTGCCAAAATGAAAAGTATATATGATCAACTTCACAAGTAAAGATTGGGATTCAGCACCTATACTTTGGTGTCTGTGTTGTTTCTCCATCCCCTTTTCGCCGACTCCTCACCATCCGTTCGTCTCCTGAGACCCCCTGTTGGAGCTGGACTCCGATATTTATGTAGTTAAAACATTTGATCACTTTTTACCCTTGAGTTTATTTGGGAAAGTCATTCCCCATGCAAATATTTGATTAATATGCAATTCCATTTTGGTTCAGCTTTCATACTTTTAAAAATATGCACTATTCTAATATCTTGAGGATTAATTTGGTCTTGGTTGAGAACTCTGAAACTCTGGGGTCTCTCTAAGGCCAAGGACATGGCACCTCTACCCTTCAAGATCTCGCCAATGAGACCTAACTTTCATTTCTGGCAGGAGCAAGAATTGAAGTGATGTCCAGGAACCTCCTGCCCCTGAGTCCCAGCCCCTCTCTCTGTGGGCATGGGACAGGCCATCTTGAGAAGCCTCTTCTCACCCCTCTCTCATGTGGGAAATCTGGTAGGAGATGTGAGTCCCAAGATAGTGTTAGGTTGGTCTTCAGCAAAGAACAACAGCAGTGCCAGCCCCTGCTGGCCTCTGTCCCCAGCTCTCCCCAGCTCTCCTCTGCAATACAGTAGATCCAATAGCAGGGAGCTGCGTTTCTTTGTCTTTCCCTTTTGTATGCAGTCATTTTCCTGTGAAAAAAACTGCTCTCTGTGAAGAACTGACACAATCCTTTGTGACCACCTAACTCGGAAAGTGTGTATTTATTATTATTGTTGTTGATTTGTTTGCTTCTGCAGCACTGAGGCAATTGACCACTGAGAAACATCCCTTTTTCTTTTCTGTTTTGAGACATGATCTCTGGAGGTGGTCCAGGCTGGTCTAAAGTTGCATTTTCCTTCCTCAACTTCCAGAGTTAAATTTAGGGTGAAGTATGAGCAAGAGTGGGCAGCAGGGAAGGCTTCAGGAGGAGCAAGAACCAGAATGTGCAGAGGCACAGAGACGAGCGAGGGCAGGCCCTGAGGGAGGACTAGCCACAATAGCATCACTGGGGATCAGTGCCAGGCAAGGAGTGTGGAGGGAAGGCTGGCCAGGGCTGCGTATCTGCCTGGAGAGGAGCTGGGACTTCACCAGTGGGCAGTGGGGACACTSGGGGGCTCACTCATGATAAAAATGAGC